TAATGGGAAATAGATATTTTGTTATTGTCCTAGGTTCCTGGCACACAGCTCCTAAAACCCTTGGCACCTCCAGAGTACATGCCAGTGAGATGACTGGCAGCTGGGGGTCCCTAGAGAGCTTCAGGAAGGAGCTGGCTGCCAGAAAGACCAAGTCGTGATTAGAAAGTTGGATCTTGGAGACCTGCCTGTGGACCTCCGGGAAGTGAAAAGGGCCTGCAGGGTTGAATTCCATCACCAAGGGCCAATGATTTAATCAGTTTGCCCATAGAACGAAAGCTCTAGGAATCTCTCTAAACCGTGGGATGTGGAGAACTTCTGGCTGGGTGAACACACGGAGGTGCTGGAAGGGTGGTGTGCCTGGAGAGGGCATGGAAGCTTCATGCCTCCATCCCCTGACCCCCTTAGCCGTTCTGCCCCTGACTGCTTTGTCCTATGCCTCTCTTCTGTTTGGCTGTCCTTGAATTGTACCTTTTATAACAGATGGATAATAGTAGATAAAGAGCTTTCCTGAGTTCTTTTCATGAACTCTAGTGAACTACTGAACCTGAGGTGGGGGGATTGTGGGAACCCCAAATATGTAGTCGGCTGGGCAGAAGTGGGTGTAGCCTGGGCACCTCAGTGTGTCTGGTATCTGAAGTCAGGGAAGGCCTGTGGGACCAGCCCCTCACCCGTGGGCTCTGTGCTCTCTCCAGGTAGTCAGTGTCAGAACTCTCCGATATTGTTGAACGCCTGCTTGGTGTCTGGAGTGTTGGAGACCGCGTAGTCTTAGAAAAACCCCACATATTTGGCGTCCGAAGTGCTGTGCCATTTTATAGGGTGAGTATATTTTTCTAGAGTGAAATCATGAGTAGGGAATCCTGGTTCTTTTACTTCCATCTTTCTAACTGAGGACAAGTTTCTTAAGCCCTGTCTTACTTCCATATCGTAGCACGTACAGAGGACTAAGGAAGACAGGGTGGAGGGTTTAGGGCAGTACCTAGCATGTAGCAAGTCATACCAGCTCTTACTAGCTGGACGGATTGAAATGCTTTAATCAATGTCCTGTGAACAATCAATACAACAGGGTTCAATTGCCCTCAGATGGTGCAATGAAACATACAGAAGGAATCTATATGCACTGGAGGAGCCTGAACACTTAGAAGTAAAGAGAAATAGCAGAAGAGCGTATGACCGGCAATCTGACGGAACATAATTTGTACTAAAGGAGAGAAGAGATTGAAGGTATAGAAAACAATGAATTCAGGAGCCTGTCACTTAGAAAAAAAGATGCAGAAGGCAGAAAAACAGAAAAATGGTGGTCCAGCCTTCAGTCCGGAAGCCAGTGGCCATTCTGGGAGTCTCTGGCATAACTCTTGAAACACATCAGCAGCTTAGTGGCCTTTTAGTGAGATGGACTCACAGAGATGTCGGAGTGGCCTTGGCTGTGTGGCTGATTTCAGTAAAGTCTCTGGTTTTGTTTTAGCCAAAGAAGCTGGTCATTTTTTCTCATGAAAATAGGGACTTGTCGGCATTTTCCTGAGTGATGGCCACTTCACGTCTAAGCGTATGTGCTCGGTTCATGGGGGACACACCGTGGATTTGCCTTGCAGGAATATTACGCTGAAGGAGAACTGTTAAAACAGCAGTAAGAAATCAACTTCTATTTAGCATCAGGTGCAGACCTGAGATTAATAATGGGCCGGCATTTTCTGCTGCCCTGAGGTGCACAGAAAGGCTGAAAAATATGGCTCTGCTGTGTCTTTAGAATCACTAGGGAGTCCAGGAAAGCCAGTGTCAGAAATAATTTGTTGGCTTCCTGACATATCAGGCTCATCACTGTGATCTAAGTACCCGCCTTTGGTAGTATTTATGATTTTTGGTATATTTAGGGCCATAATGAAAGCAAGAAAGAAGAATGGCTATGGGATCCATTTGTGAGTCTCCTCCACACTTCCTCAGTACTGAGGTCACTGAGTGAGTGACTGGGGCTGAATGCAGAAAAATCGTAAAGCAGCCAGTCTAGGTAAGTGAAGCTCAGCTTGGGTGGTCTTCCACAAATATCCTTGTCTCCAAATCAGTAGCAATGCACTGATCACTGCCCACAGCTGTAGAAATGTTACTTCCAAGGAGTCTTAGGGGAGAGATGTAAATAGAACATGCAGGTATAAGGAAGAATTTTCTGATTCAGGATACAATTTTACTAGCTTGTAAAGCAGATTCCCCAAACCAAGCAGAGATAAATCAATATAGCAATCAAGGAAGGCACTTAGTTAAAAAAAAATTGAGTAGGTTTCTGTTGTCAATGGGTTTCAGCCCCGGGCAAGTTCACTATAGATTCAACGTGACCAAAGAAATGACAGTAGAGCGTTCTTGGGGTGAAAGGGTTTATACCCAACTTGATTCCCACGGTGGCAGGTCAATCACTAGAATCCCATCCCCTCAGAGCAAGTCTGCAGGCAGCAAGCCGGTCTCTGCCTCTGGGCGTCTCCAGCTCTGCAGCCTCTCAGTCTCTGTCCTTAGCGCTGCCACCATTGTGGGGGCCCGGCCTATGGCCGAGGCTGAGCCCCACTCTAGCTGGACAATGATGGCGCTTGCTTCCTGCTCACCACCCTTTCCCCTCTTCCCTGTTGGGGATTGGCCCAGCAGACTTCCGTACCCGTGCACAGCTCGTGCTGCCCGCTTAGAGTGGCGCGTGACACCTATCCGCTTAAAGGTCACGCATGATACTGTCTCGGATTGGTTGGGTGACTGAATATAAGGGAGCCCGCGGGAGGGAGAAGAGCTGCCCGACAACTGCTGTAACCGCCGGGAGAGATTAGACAATAAAGCCTAGAGAAGAATCAAGACCTTGGGCGTGTTGCTTCGGTCCCTGAAGGGTCGTGACAACCATCCCAGCCTCTGCTCTGCTCTCCTGCAGCCTTGCAGCCCTGCAGCCCTGCCACTGTGGTGCCCAGAGCACTAGGCGATGCTCTTTATATAGAGTCAATAATGACGCATTGCCCACACGTGTGTAGTGGGCTAGCCGACCAGGGCCAGGGGAGAGTCCTGGACACAGGAACCTTCACTTTATCCACAAGGTTTTTTTTTTCCTTTCCTTAGGTTACTTGTTTAAAATATGTTTTCCAAACACAAGTACACAGTGGTTTTATGATTTCTTAAACCAACAAGCTTTGGAAACGCTGCTGGCTCTGACCAGAGTGCAGAGGGTAGGAAGGATGGGCTGCTCAAGAGGGGGAAGATTCGAAGTGTTTGGGAATCAGCCTAAGGGCCTCTGTCAGCTGCGTCCAAGTGTCCAAGTACTGTCAGTGTGTCTGTAGTGCTCACACGTGTACGAGGCTTGCTGGCTGACCACTGTTGCAGCTTCAGACTGTTCGCAGTAAAACAGAACAACACTGGTGAGCTTACAGAAAGCATTTCCCACATGGAGGGCACTGTCAGATGACCACAGTCTTTTCTATTTCCTTTTCTTCAATACTCAAGACCTTGGAAAACGTGTGGGTATGACTTGGGCATGTTCAGTCTGATCACATCTTAGAAATACATGGAGTCTTGGCATATCTTAGCTACGTTTCCAAACTCTGAACAGTTATCATAGACATGAGAGATGCTATTTTTTTCATTTTTGCCACAGTAAATTAAGCTTAACAAGGGAACTACAGGGTTCACTTTACTTTGTACTTTATCATTTTATTGGGGACATCAATCATTTTTATGGACTTGCCAAACAGGGCTTCACAAGTCATTGGGTCCAGCCTGCTGCCTCCAGGCAGGGGACGTCTGGCTCCTGTGTGTGGGCTAAATTTCACTGACCTCATACTGAAGAGCCATATTTGAACCTGTTTCACTATCACATCGATTCAGCTAGACCATGAATCAAGCCATTACACACACATTAAATAAAAGACTGAAGAATGCAGTTATCCTAAATGTCAGTACACACCTTGTCTCTGTTCTAATGGGGATTTATTATATATATTGGATGTATGTGGATAGATAGACATCTCCACGAAATTTTCTCCCAAAGCAATGAACTTATTAGAGGTAGACTGTCCAAAGGCCGAAAGAGTTAACAGAACTGCAGCCACACTGGACCACGTAATACTATGTTTGCACGGTCCTGACTGAGAGGCCCACCAGTGACCACCACGTATTGCATCAGCCCTGCACGGGTCTCAGACAGAAAGAGGAAGATTAAAGGACTCAGATGTGCTGATGGCTCCAGAGCTGAAAACAGCTATCAAAAGGCGGCAGGCATCTGGGAAAGAACTTTCCTTGCTTGAAAGCCAGAAACACACTGGTGTTGCCTCTGGAATTGGAACAGAATCTATTTTTAATTGGTTTTAAAATCTGGAATGGAACATTCCTGCAGTCACCCATGAGCCGACCTTATTCTGTAGAAGCTGAGCGAATCCTGGCCAACCATCTGTCTTGTGAATTGTTTGGCTCACTCAAGTTTCAGAGTGTAAAACACTTTATCAGGTCTAAAGTTACCAGTGACTAAAGGAAGCTATGCTTCTCATCATTCTGGAGGCACGCTAACCGATAGGGTTCACCAGGACGAACGCGCTGCGATACATTCCAGCCAACCAGGGGCACAGAAGGGCACTGCTCATATTGTAGAGCAAAAAGGGGTTCTTACACTCATTGAAATCAATGCTTCCCTAACTGAGGGAGAACTAATAGTTCAGGATACCTAAATCTGATACAAGTGGGTGCTCTGGAGCCAGGCTACCTGGCTCAAACCCCAGCTCCACCACTTCCTACCCGTGTGACTTTTAGGAAGTTACTTCATCTCTCATTGCCTCGGTTTCTTCATCTATAAAATACGGAGAATACATATGCCCCCCTCATAGCGTTGTGGTGAGGACTAAGTGAGTCAACACTTCTACAACGTGAGCGCTTGATCCACGGGTACAGTCGGTGGACGTCAGCTTCTAACGTTAATGACCCGCCGCGGGGCAGGAGCCGGGAGAGGGGGGAGGCCGCACCACGAGGGCTGGGGGCCAGGCCCTGGCACTCACCTATGACACAGAAGGGCTTCCGGGCGAACCTCAGCCTTCCCTGCCATCCTCTGTACCGGCAGCAGCAGCCCGCAGACCAGATGCGAACGATGAACTCCAAACCGAAGACGACGATCATCACGAACTCCTACAGGGAAGAGGCATCGTGAGAGCGCGGCACCGGGGCGCCTCTGCAAGAGGCTCGCTGAGGATTTCCCGACATGAAGGCACCTGGTCTGAAACATTCAGTAGTTAGTGACCTAAGGCTACCTGCTCCTGTTCCGAATCCTCTTAAAGCTGCAGAACGTCTGACCCTCGCACCGTCTGTGTTCCCTCGCGCCGAATGCTATTCCTTTTCAAGTCTTCACCACTTAGCAAATTTAGGAGTCAGTTTTAATACTAAGTATGCAGGCCGACTTACAATCGGACTTCTCTGGACTACAGAGTGTAACTGACTTTAGCTACCTGGAAACATGTGAAATCAAAGAGGGATGGACTCCAAAAACACAGCTTTACAGTTTTACAGAACAGAGACCTTCACTTTGCTCTAAGGAGTGATAAATCCCTAAGGCCTTGAGAGTTGTTCTCAGAGAAAAAAGAAGTAAATATTTAGAATAATACTGAGTTCTCCTGTTACAGTGTCAAAAATCCCCTTATAAAACAGCGAGTTTCAAAAGCGTTATTGTGTGTGTGGTGCATAAACCCTTCGCCAGAAACGCGACCCCACATTCTCCAAATCTGAAGCTTGCTAAATTGTTACGCTGCCCTTCAGTGAGAGCTGCTTGGAAAATGACACCTGCTCTGCAAAACGACTCTGCGATGAGTTAGGCCGAGGAAAGAGTCACTAGGCAGTGGGCCACCGAGGGGAAACCAAGTGGGGTTTGTAAGAAGCTGCATCTCTGGGGCCAGCTTGTCACCATCATCTCGCCCCTTGATCCAGTTCATTGAAATCTTTTTCCTTTAAGAAATAAATCCATCTCTTGTTTTTAAGCTAGGGTTGACTCAGCATTTATAATGTGAAACAATATTTATTCATTCTTTTTATAGTAGCTTAATTTTAAAAGTGATACAAGGTCTTTATTAAATGTTCACACTTCACAGAAATATTGAACATGGAAAGTAAAGGTCCTAATCCACTCCCTGTCCCCCATCCCCGTGTCCCGAGATAAAAAGTGTCATCAGATTTAGGAAAGTGGTATTCTTGTTGTGAGTGGCAGGGGCGTATGTGTGTTTCTGTAGTTAGAGTGTGAGATAAGGCGCCGCAGTTTTGAAATGTCTGGTAGAGATACATCATTCTAGCCTTCTGTTATTTCTCACTAATTAATCCACAAATAGTTCTCATGATTGGAAATAAATCTCCATTATCACTGCTGCTTATATACAGTGACTTAAAACTACCCAGGGAATAAATCTTCAAAGAGATTTTTGTACAGAAAACCAAAACTATGGTCAAGAAACACCCATTGATGATGTGAGGGTTTGGTGTAGATTTGGTTTTAAGTATGTGTCTGGGTAACTGAATCTCTTCATTCACAGAGGTGCCTAAAGTGGCAGAACACCTGTTTTGAATCCAGTGCACCTTCCCACAAATGTGACGGCTGGAGATGCCCATGTGCCCGCATGCCATCTGGTTTTACTAGCAGGCCCACTTTTATTCCTGCCTTTAACTCCTGTTGTGCCAGGGCAGTTGGCCTTCTATGTGAGAGGCCACACAGGGGTACTCAAGAACCACATGTGGCCTAGGCAACGAGGCGTTACCTACCATATAATGATTTTTCTTTTTCAAGGGAACCGATGACACCAGTCTGCATACGGCCATTGTGCTAAAGTAAGGCAGGTGGTCATGGCACTGTTTCTACACGGCACTGAGGCAGGATGAATTATGGGTACAAATTCTCTACTCAGGCCCCTGTTCAGGAATGTTGCTTACTACTTTAATTTCTGAGTGCTTAGGAAAAAAATTCACTTCCAAACAGAGTAAGAGGAAGTTGAAATTGGATTTCACCACTGGGCCACAATTCCTGCCTCAAGGGAAGTAGCATTAGGGTAGAATTCTCCTCCCCTTTCTAGACCCTCGTCTGGCATTGTCTGCCTGGGCTGGGTTTTAAACTGTGTGGACAATGACCTCAGAAATCCCCAATCGAGAGAGTGACAAGCAGGGGCAAGGGCCCTGCAGGTGGCTGCGGGGCGCCGCTTTCCGGCCCAGAGCCGGGCCGAGGACCTGGCGTATATGGTAGGCAACCAAGGTGTGAGAACCACGTGCCAGGATTCTGCCTCATGGTTCCTGACATTTCCATCTTACTTCAGTTAAAAGGAGCAAAGTGTTATTGAGCCAGAGGAGGGAATGCATCCCAAATCTGACAGAACAGGGGAGAATGGGATTGTGAGAAGAACACTTTTCCTTTTTTTCCCTCTTTTCTCAGCTTTGTTTAGGGCTAACTGACAAATAAAAATGGTATCTACTTAATGTGTACAATGTGTTCTGATACATTATACATTGTGAAGTGATTACTGCAGTCAAGCTAATTAACGTGTCCATCACCTCACATGTCTTAACATTTTTTTGTGTGTGTTTATGTGATGGAACCACTGCAGATTTACTCTTAACAAATTTCCAGTATACAATACACTATTAGATCTCCAGAAGTTAACCATCTTGCATAACTGAAAACTTTGTCCCTTTGACGAACATCTCTGTCCTTTTCCCCTACCTGTCCAGGCCCTGGCGATCACCATTCTACTATCTTCTTTTATAAATTCAGCTATTTTCGATTCTACATATAAGTGTGATCATGCAATACTTATCTTTCTGTGTCTAACTTATTTCACTCAGCATAATTTCCTCCAAGTTCATTTCTTGTTTTTAAGCTAGGGTTGACTCAGCATTTATAATGTGAAATGGCAGGTTTTTAAAAAAAATCTGAATATTATTCCATTGTGTGTGTCCTTCTTTATCCTTTTGTCCACTGGTGGACCTTTAGGTTGTTTCCATATCTTGGCTATTGTGAATGATGCTGCAGTGGACATGGAAGCACAGATACCTCTTCGAGATCCTGACTTTTATTTCCTTTGGATATATGCCCAGAGTGGGATTGCTGGATCATACAGTTGTTGGATTTTTAAGTTTTTGAGGAACCTCCATATTGCTTTCCATAGTGGCTGCACCAATTTACAGGATACAATTTACAATCAATAGGGTACAAGGGTTCCCTTTTCTCCACATTCCCACTAGCACTTGTTATCTCTTGTATTTCTGATGACAACCATTCTAACAGGTGTGAGATGTTATCTTATTGTGATTTTTATCAGCATTTTCCTGATGATTAGTGATGTTGAACACCTTTTCATATACCTGTTGCTCATTTGTATGTCTTCTTTTAAGAACTGTCTAGTCGGGTTCTTTTTACATTTTAAAATCAGGTTATTTGTTCTTCTGCTATTAAGGTACGGAGGTTCCTTATATATTTGGATGGTAACTACTATCAGATGCATGGTATGCAAATGTTTTCTCCCAGTTCAGAGGTTGTCTCTTCATGCTGTCGATGATTTCTTTTGCTGTGCAGAAGCTTCTCAGTTTGATGCAATCTCACCTATTTTTGCTTTTGTTGTCTATGATTTTGGGGTCATATCCAAAAAGTCATTGTGCATATCAACACCAAGAAGTTCTTTTCCTATGTTTTCTTCTAGTTTTATTTTTTGAGGCCTTATGTTTAAGTTTTCATTCATTTTGAGTTGATTTTTTTATATGGTGTGAGAATAGGGTCCACTTTCTTTGTTCTGCATGAGGTTTTCCCATTCATGATAAAAGCTCTCAGCAAATTAGGAATAGAGATTTATTATTTCAATTTGATGAACAGAATCTCCAAAAAAACCTAGAGCCATTGTCATACTAAATGGTAAAAGACTGAATACTTTCACCTAAAATCAAGAACAAAGCAAGATGTTACTTCATCAGTCTTACTCAGCATAGTTGAATAACAGTCACCACAATAACGCATGTAAAAGAAATAAAAGGCATACAAATTGGAAATGCAGACATAAAAGTGTCTTCATTTGCAGATGACATGACTGTCTAGAGAGAAAATTATATGGAAGCTACAAAAAAACCCCTCTTAGAATCAATAAATGAGTTCCACAAGTAAGGTTTCAAGATACAAAATTAATGTATAAAAATCAATCACATTTCTGTATACTAGTAATGAGGATGTGGAAAGCAACATAAAAAGCACAATGTTATTTACAACCATGCCAAAGAAAATAAAATGTTTAGCTAACAAAACATGTACAGGATGTGCATGCTGAAAATTACAAAATGTTGAGAGAAATGAGAAGACCTAATAAGTTGAAATATCTTATTTAGGAATTGGGAGACTCAGCAGAGAAGTCAGCTCTTCCCAAATTGATCTATAGATTTAATGAAATTCCTATAAAAAAATCTCTGCAAGCTTTCCTTGTACACATAAACATACTCATTCTAAATTTATATGGAAAGGCACAGGCCCTACAATAGCTAAAACATCTTGAAAAAGGAGAAAAAAGTGGGAGGAATAATTTAATTGGATATTAATACCTATTATATAGTTCTAGTAATTAAGACTGTGTGATATTAGGTGAGGGCAGACACATAGAGAACAATGGAATAGAATAAAAAACTTAAAATATACCCAAATAAATATGCTCAATTGAGTTTTTGATAAAGGTGCCAAAACAATTTGATGGAGGAAGAAATAGCCTTTTCAATAAATGGCGGTTATTCAATAAATGGGGGAATTGGACATACATGTGAAAAAAAAAGGAATCTTAATCTATTTCTCACACCTCCTACAAAAATCAATTTAAAATGGATCATAGGCTTAAATGTTAAAACTATAAGAATTTCAGTTAAAAACTATAGAAGAAAATTTGTGGAACTTGGGCTGAGTAAAGAGTTCTGAGACTTGACACCAAAAGCACAAGTAATAAAAGCAAAATCTGCTAAGTTGGACCTCATAAAAGTAGAGAGGATGAAAAGACAAACTACAGACTGGGAGAAAATATTTGTAAACCACATATCTGACAAAGGGTTTGTATCTAGAAAAATATATATGTATACTCTAAAAATTCAATAGTAAGAAACCAATTCAATTAGAAAATGAGCAATAGCCATGA